CTTCCCCTGTGGGAGGCGCACCCCAGGCGCGGAGGAGCGCAGCTCAGGGGCCGGCGGCAGAGGGAGTCCCGCCGGGCCAGGCCGGGTCTGGTCCTGAGCTCACCGAGGCCCCCCAGCCGGCCCAGCTGTGGGCCACGTTCCCTTTTCTGCCTGAGCGGGTTGGAATTTGGTTTCTGTCCTTTGCCACAGAGGCCTGACTTCGCACTCTCCTCTGGGAACCTCCGGTGGCCCGAGCTGGGCCCTGGGAGCTCTGCAGAGGCCTGCGCCCCGCGGCAAGCCAGGCCCTCAGCCACGGGCAGCCGCAGCCGCCCCACCAGCCACGAGCTGCCTGTCCCCCCCCCCCCCCCCCCCGCCGAGGCTGTGCGCATGGGGGTGGGGAAGGGGGGAGACCCAGGGCTCCACCCCAGTGTCTCGGGGTTCGGAATCCTAGAACACGCTTAGCCAGTGTGGACGGAATGTCCAGACTCGCCGTGGCTTTGAAGTCCCGCTTGGGGGATGTTTCAGCGAATGTCCCTGGAATCGCCAGAAGGCCTGAGGCCGTCTCTGTTCCTCAGTCTCCCCGCCGGGGAGCCACCACCGCCCGCTCAGAGCGGCCCCGGGGCTTGAAGCACTGAGGCCCGGCGCCCAGGACCACCATCTGCTTGTCTGCTGGAGGCTGTCTCCCCACCCCGCCGCCCCCTTCCTCTGGCACGCTGGCCCCGCGCGGGCACTGGATGAACCAGGGCGCTGCCCCAGGGAGTGTTTGGGGCCGGCTCTTTAGTAGGTAAGGAGGTCCACCAACACCTCAACAGAAAAGCAGAAAGGCCCCGTGGCCGCTTATCCACCCCCTTATCCCATCCCCACCATGACCCCGATTTCCAGCCCGGGACCCAGGGCGCCGCCCTCTGAGCTTCTGGACTTAAGCCTCGGCTCACCCCACTGCTGCTCACCCTGCTGGATCAGCAGCCCAAGGCGCTGAGGCGGAACCTGCAGCTGTACCCCCCACCCCCACCTGGGCAGACACACAGTGAGCGGTTCCGGCCCCAGGGCAGGCCTTCCCCGAAAGGTGCGAAGATGCATTTCCTCCCAAGCACCTTTCTGCTCTGCCTGCTCTTCTCTGGGCAGATTCACTAGACTATTTAAGCCTTTGAACAGTCCCTGCTGACTACCGGGGTTTCGCTCCCTGGGCCCCGGGCTCCAGCCAGGCAGGGGGAGGCCCAGCAGGTGGGCTCCGAGGTCACAGCGGGGGAAGGTGCTTCTGGGCACGCTGAGCGCTTGCTTGGAATGACACGTGCTGTCGTGTGTGAGGGAGGGAGCTTCTATGGGGGGCAGGGCAGGGGTGAAGGGTGAAGGGGAGCTGCGCTTCTGTGGGTCTTGCCTGTCGCCATCAGGCTGCAACTCCGGCAGCAGCCCCTGAGTGTCCTTGGGGAGGAGCCCTGGGTCCCCGGGCAGGTCAGAGGACTGTGGGGTTTGCAGGAAGAAACCGAAGCTCTGGACGCAGACATCCCCCTCCCGCCTCCCTGTCAAATGGGGGTGGGAGGAAGCAGAGCCGCTGGGCGGGCCCCCAGGCTGAGAGGGTCTAGGGCAGGCGCCCCAGGCTCCGAGGAGCCCGACACCCCGGGGGCTGGAGAGAAGGCAGCTCCCATTCGGGCTCTCGGGCTGGGCTGAGAGCTCATTTCTAGCAGGCTCAGGGGGATGCCAGGGGCTGGACCTCAGGCCTGGACTCACTCAACACAGCGGGCATTTGCTGCTGTGCCCAGCTGGGGAACCCCATACTCGACTCCACTGCCCCGCCCCAAGCGCACATGGCCCCCATCAGCGTGGATTCTTAATTCAGGGCCGAAACGCAGCACCGGCCCTGGGATCCACCGAATCTTTAGAGCAGGAGCCAGGGCCCTCAGCATGGCCCTGACCGCCATCCCCTCCTGCCCTCCCGGGGGGCCTGCCTCGAGTCCCCCCCAGGTCTCTACAAAGCAGGCAGCTGCACCCACTGCACGCAGCCGGGGGCCGAGCATGTGCGTTGCATTACCTCTGGGAAGCGTGTCGCTCTGTTTGTGTGTTTGTGGCTCTGGGGGCAGTGGAAAGAAACCCCCAGTGGGAATGTTTGTTTGTGGCCTATTTATTCATTCTTCTGCTCTTCTGGAAGCCAAGGAGGCCCTATTCTTAGCACCTCGTGCTCAAGCATGGGTTTCTTCTTTTTCCTTTGAGATCTCGTAAGGAGAGGCCGTCTCCCGGCCCCCAAACTGCAAGTCACGCTGTACACTCAGCAGCAGCGGGGGCGCAGCCCAGGCCAGAGCCTGTGCCCCGGCCCCAGGGACCCTCACAAGGCAGGAAAGGGGACCGCGGTGGTGCCCGGCTTCGGGGGTCTGTCCCAAAAGCACCCTCCGGCCTGGGCGAGGCCCAGCGGCTGACAGCGGGGAGAACTCTAGCCCGTGTGTCTGCGTGTCCCAGACTGACAGTGTCGTTTTCCACCCTTCCTCGCTGCTGAGAGATGCAGGGGGGTCGGGGGTCCCCCCCCCCTCCAGCGAGTGCTTCTCTTGGGCCTGAGAACAGGTTTGGCGAGTCCTCCCCAAATCTCTCCCCAAATGCGCCTCCAGCCAGAAGCCCTGAATGTGACCTTGTTGGGAAGCGGGGTCTTTGCGGGTGCCCCAAGTGAGGAGGCCGTCACAGAGTGGACACGCCCGCATCAGCCTCTGGTGTCCTTCGAGAAGAGGGCGAAGAGGGAGGCAGAGACAGAGCGGCGCCCCCACGAGCCCAGGGACCCTAGGGGGGTGCCCTCGGCCACAGACGCTGGACGGATTCTTCCTAGAGCCTGGTGGAGCGTGCCGCCCGCGGACACCATGACCGGCTGTCTCGCCTCCAGAGCCCTGGGGGTCCGCCCCGTGCGAGGAAGGCCGGGCCCTGGTGCATCGCCGCCGCAGCAAACTCCTCCGGACGGGGAACTAGAGCCTGGGAACGGAACGCCCAGAGGGGCCTCCCAGAGCTTCCAGAACATTCCTGGCTGCAACGTGGGCTTCTGCAACATGGGCCTCCTCGGTCCCATCTCATCCATCCCAGGAAATAGGCACCAGTGGGCCCAGCGGGTGCCACGAGGATGCCAGGGAGTCCAGGGTCCTCTGCCCGCCCCGCCCGACCAGCCCAGCCCCTCATCCCCGCCCGAACCCAGGGAAGGAGAAGCAGCTTCTGAGCAGAGCGTGTGTGTGCCCTGCATGTGCCCCCACGACGCCCGTCAGATGCCGGCCGGCCACGGCCTCAGCCCGGCGCGTCCCGTGTCCTTATCCGGCCTCCCCGAAGGGACGCGCCTCTGCCCCCGCAAGGTGCCGGTGACGGGGCGGGACCCGCGAAGGTGGCGCGTCCAGAGGACAGGCCAGGGCCTCGCAGGCCTTCCCAGCGCCCCGGGGCCAACCTGCTCGGGAAGCGTCTGGCGACATCTTCAAGGGGGTCAAGAGCGACCGCACGGGCCAGGGGTCGGCAGACAGCCCAGGAGCGATGGATTTTTTGCTGTGGTTTTCCATGTTTAAATAGTTGGAAAAAAACTGAACATCCTGAGAGATTCAGACTGTGCCCGTTTCCTTGGAACCGGCTGCTCTTGTTCGTTTGCCTGCTGGAGGCTGCTCCCCCCGCGAGTGGCTGTGGCGCGGACCACCCGGGGCTGGGGCCTCCCTCGAGGGGCTGCCGGCCTGGCCCAGCCTCAGGGCCCCCCACCATCGCGCTCCCTAGCGGGGTGACCCGGGCAAGTTGTTGTTTTTCCTCTCCGCCTCCCTCTCCACCCGTCCCGGCTTCCCGAGGCCTGGGGGAGCCTTGGGGGAGCCAACATTTTTAAGCCCTGAGAACAGCGCCTGGCACACAGAAGCACCGTGGATGGATTCGGTTATTTCCAGCTCTTTATTTTAATCCTCCGTCGCCCTAAATCCTTGAGCATCGCCATCCGCGCCGCAGCGGAGGGGCTGAAAATCCCAACAGGGGCGAGCGCGTCCCTCCTTCCCGTCCTGCCCCGTCCCCTCAGTGCCCTCCTCGCGCACACAGGTCTGGGCAGCTCAGCTCAGACTTCTCAGGCCCCACCGGGTTCAAATTCGCTACATTGGAGGAAAAACTGTTCCCGAGCAGGTGCGGGAGGCCTGCTGGTGAGTCACACCTGCCACCCCCTCACTTTGCAGCCTGCAGTGCTTTTTTGCAAGCGACTGAAAACAAAAGCCGCATGATGAGAATTTCCATCCGGCAGGAGGCTCCCTCTGTTTGGGGTGATGTGAGGGGGAGCCCTGCAAGGCTGAAACATGGGCCCTGGGTGTCACCCACGCCTGCCACCCTCTCCCTTCCACCACCTGACCAGCCAAGACCTCACTTCCCAGCCTCCTGTGCAGCGTGGGCTGGTCACGTGACTGCCCGCACCCCACCGGCCTGCATGTGGAGACGCCACTTCAGAGTCTGGGCCTGAAGGCTCAGTCCTCCCTGCCGCTGGAACCACAACCCGCAGATGAGGGGAGCCCCAAGGGAGCCTGGTCCCTGAATGACTTTGTGGAGCAGAGACCCGCCCCCCCCACATGCCCCCCCACCCCTGCTGGGGACTCTTGCTTGCTTGACAGAGTAGGTGTCTGTGTTCTCTGCGTCACCTTCTCGTGGTGGCCGAGCTCTCAGCCAAAGAGACACGAAGTCCCTCCAGTCCAGTTGATCACAGATGGGGGTGCACCCCCATGCTGCGACCCCCATTTAGCTGCAGAACCAGGTCTGGAGCCCATCTCCCACCTCACAGCCCTGTGCTCTGACACTCGACAGGCACAAAGTCTGCTCACTGCAGACAGGCCGTGGCTCCTCGGGTCCCGAGATAACCCGCCCAGCTCAGGGCGACCACTGTGCCCACGTGCCCAGGGGACAGTGCCCCAGCCTGAGCCCACCCAGGAGAGAAGTGACACCGTCTCTGCAACAGGGAAAGGCCAACGTGACAGTAACTAACGTGCTGGACTAAATCACTGCGCCCCACCCCCAGGAGCCAGGTCGATCGCTGCACCCCAGGAGCTGGGCGGCGGGACTGAGGCTGCCCTTGATCACCTCCTCCAGGAAACGCTGCGTGTGGTTAATGACAAGCTGTATTTGGTGCCACGGTGGTAAGAAGCACGATTATGACATTAGAACGCGTTCTTCTCTGTACTAATGGCCTACGCCGTCTAAGGTTTCTCTCCGAGGTCCCCTAAACCCTCCTCGCTGGAAAGCTGAAGTCTGAAAGGCCGACCATGGTCGTCTTCCTGGCCTCTCTGCGGGGAGAGGGGAGGCTCGTCAGGGACTTCCCACGCACGCCTCGGCGTCGTCATCAAGCCCAATTTGGAAGTTTTCCCTTTGAAAGGCCGTTCTTCACGGCGTCTGACCTGCCACCTTCTTCCACAGACAAGGCGCCGTGTTTCCTTGGACCAAGCGGCCTCTCCTCCCAGGTCAGGCGGCTCTGCTCTTCCAGACCGCGGCGTGGCAGAGCCCTGTGCGCGGCCCGGAGGACCCCGGGCCTGTTCTACCTGGGAGCCTGCGTCTCCCCCCTCCCTGCGCCAGGTGCTCCTCGCCAGAGCAGGCGCCGGGGGTCTCTCTACGGCGTCCACCAGGCGGAGCCGCGGGTCAGCCCGTGAGGCAGTGAGAACTGCGCGAGGACTCACTTTGGGGGTACAAGGAGCGCAGAAGCACTATCCCCCCTCCCGGGAGCGCTGGTGGGCAGCCTCCAGTGGCAGGTCAGGGAACGGGGGGAGACGAGGGAAAAGGGGGTGTTCGAGCCACAGGGGCCCCCAGCCTCTCCCTGGAGGCCCCAGAGGTGTCTTTGCTGTGGGAAAACCCAGCGGGAGGCCCAGGAACAGGCTCTGGAGGCAGAGCACGGCTGGGGCTTGGGGCTTCCCCAGGGAAGGGCCCTCATCCTTCCTGTCCCACAGGCAGCTCCCCACAAAGGCGCAGGGGCTGCTCCAGGGGGTCCCCAGGGCACAGAGCAGGAGCCCCAGAGATGCAGGCCGTGAGCAGGCCACCAAAAGGGGGGACTGGGGCCCCCTGTGTGGAGGTGGGGAAGTGGAAGGCCTCAGGGACCCGCCTCTTGGGGGCTGAAACCTGGGGGACCTGCTCTGTGCCGCCTCACCTCAAGCCCCTTCCTGCTCCCCTCTGGACCCCAGAACAGCTTCGCCTTCCCACAAGAACCCCCACCTGGGGGCTGGGCTCAGCTCCCTCCTCTGTGGTGCCCCCACGAACCGGCCCGCTCTTCCTGGGAGTCCCCCCGCAGAGGCCCCAGAACGGGCACAAATCCGGCGCCCCCTGCGCCTGAGCCCCGCTCTGCCGCCTGCCTGGGCGCGCCCCGCTCCGCCCTCTGACCTGCTGCGCTAAGAGCCCGGGTCAGCTTTGGGGGAACTTTTCTCAAGGACAGGACGGATGTTCCCCCAAAGGACCCCAAACCCCCGCCGCCCCCGCTCCCCGGCCCCGGAGACTTCGGGGGACCCGGCGGAGCCCCGCGCCGGCCGCCAGGGCCGCGACTCACAGGTTGGTCTTGAGCGTGGCCAGGTAGGTGTCCGTGTCCGCCGGCGACACGTCGCGGTCCAGCCCCGCCAGGTAGCGGTACGCGGAGGAGAAGGTCTCGAAGGGGATGCGCGCGGGCCCGCCCTCGGGGTCGAGGGTGAGGATCTCACACAGGTGCTTCATGGCGGAGTTCAAGGACTGCAACACGGGGGGCGGGGGGGGCTGTCAGAGCCCGTCAGAGCCCCCCAGCGCCCCCGCACAGCCCCCCCACGCGCCAGGAGGCGGCCGGGACCCGCAGAGGCGGAGCGGGGAGTTGTGGCCGGGCGCGGCCGGCCTGAAAAGTGACCGCAGACTTTGTCGTGGAGGAGATGGCCAGACTCGGGCGCCTGCACGCTCACTCGCTGCTGCTTGCCAAGACGCCATTACAAAGGACCAGGCCCAGGGCCTCCCCGCCGGCGCACGGGCTTAGGCACCTCACACGAGGCTTCCGCAGCCTCTGCAGCACGAGTTCGCTCTCTGCTGGCCAGGGAGCTACCCACATGGCGCGGCAGACCCCTCCTGTCTCCCCGCTGCTCCCCTCAGCAGTGGGTTTCAGTCCGTCTGCCTGTTCTGCTCCCCACTCTGTCTCTGGTGAATCCTCTCACCCCCGCCCCCCCGCACCTCTGGCCTGCACCCCAGCTCTTGTATGCATAAATACAAATTAAAAAAAAGAAAGCAAGCTGTGCCACCGGCCAGCAGATGGGAGGCAGCGGTGGCGGGAGGAGCAGCTGCTGGGCGGGAGTCGGGTGAGGGAAGTCGGGGCGCCAAGTGAGCGGCAGTGAGGCCCTGTAAATCAGCCGTCCTCAGTGCCTTCACTTCACTTCACTTCACTGCCGCCTTCTTAAAGTTTGGGTTTTTTTAACCCATAAAGAAAAATGCTAAGATGCCAAACCACACCAAGACTGTCTCCTGGAAGTCGCAGCCCCACGTCCTCAGGGACCCTGGCGCCGCGGGCACACCGCGGCCTGGACCAGCGGGTCTCGGCCACGGCCTGGCTCCCGCAGACCCCAAAGACACGGTGCAGCCAGGCCTTCCACACCTGCTCACCTGTGCGCCAGGAGGCTGCCCCGCCTCACCACCAGGCCCAATGGGGAAGGCGGGTCTTGCACACTTGAAAGGGGCCGTGGTGAGGCAGGGGTCGAGGGCCAACAGTCACCACCGTGCCAGGGAGGCTGAGTGAGGGCACCTGTGTGGGAGGAGCAGCAAATCCCAGAAAGGAACAAGCCGGCTGCTCTGGATGGCTCCGGTGCACACGGTGCGGCTCCGAGGGGAGGCGAGTGTCTCCCTCCAGACTCCCCCGCACCCGCAGGAGCCCTGAGCCTCCAACAGGACAAGGTGCTTTGTGTACTGGGTGGGAGGGGGCGGGGGTGGTAGGCATCATGACAATGGACCCCCAAAATATGAACTATTCTGCTTTCTCATCGTGATTAAAGTCTGAACTCACAACAACGTTGAGAGGTGCCCACAATGACCTTATCTGTCAGCCGGGCCCGCGATTGCGCAGAATTGTTGATACGCTCTGCACAGAATATTAATGTGCGCTTTGCAATACGGTCTTCACGAACACATACCCCGCCCAGCATGCTGCATCCGAGCGCTAAGAATTTCATCCACTCGATTTTGTTCTCACAAGGATCCAATTGCAAGAGAGCTCTGAATTTTTCTACCGGCAGACACAAGTTTTTCCATTTCTGCTCAAGATCGGCTAACTCCACGTAGGACTTGTGACTGCACTGTTTAGAAAACACAGGAGGACACAATTTATATACATTTTTAAAACCTGCAAAAAACATACAGTGATGCTGTGAATACTGAAATATACCAGGGGCGGGCTCTGAGCAGCAGGTGCCGCTCCGGCTCCTAATAACTCGTTTCTCTAAACACTAGACAGTGAGGCTCTCGGGACAGGCCCTCTGGAGGCTCGGAGCCCAGGCCCCATGCTGCCCACCACAGTGGCAGGTTGTGACTTTAACAGTTTGCACTCAGCTTCCATACATGCACGCTCAGCTTCCATACACGACCCTTGTGTCTGGATTCATAGTTGCTGGGTTTTGGGGTTTGGTTTTTGGCCAGCAGGATCCAGCATCTTAATTTGGATTTGGTATTTCAGTGTTCTACAACCTAACCACCAATAGCTATTGGGGTCTCCTTAATGAGAGGACAATGAGGCCCCCAGATTCCTTCTGAGAAAGAAACCTTGAAGGTTCACTGCAGGGAAAGTGAGCTGGCGGGGCCAAGTGGGTGGTTCCCGCCCTGCATGTAGGGGGTGGGCCCTGCTTCATCCCAAGTTTATCTCTGAGCCCCGAGTGTACCTGCTTGTGCAAGATTTTCAGCAGTCCTTGAGTGAGGCCTGTGTCTACTTTCTGAGTGGCCACAGGCATTTCGATTCTGTCCTTCACAGGAAGAGGATCTCCTCTGGACAAAGCTGAAAAATACCTGACAACACAGCCCCCTCTGAAGATTCATCCAATGCAACAGACCCCTGAATGGGTGGCTTCTGAGACGCCCCCAGCCCGGGGGGAGACAGCCCAGGGGGATGAGAGCGGCAGTCCCTCACTCTCCCCTCTGCTCTCCGACAACCCACTTGGTGAGCCTCAGTTTCTCAGTGGGCCCCTGGGGAGCACTGGCAAGGCACCTACTCAAGATTTAAGTTTATTCGGATACCTGTGATCCTAACATTGAGCCTCTACCTCTGCTTACTGAAAAGGGGCAAAGAGCTTTTCTGTAAAATCAAAAGGGTTCCTTTTACTAGCTCTAAAGTCTATTTTTGGCCCTCCCCAGTGGCGCAAGGGGCTAAGCACTGCACTATGAAGCAATCTACAGCCTCTGCAGCACGAGTTCGATCCCCGGCCGGCCAGGGAGCAACCCATATGGTGTGGCAGACCTCTCCTGACTCGACCGCTGCTCCCCTCAGCAGTGGATTTCAGTCAGTCTGCCTGTTCTGCTCCCCACTCTGTCTCTGGTGAATCCTCTCAGCCCCCACCCCCACACCTCTGGCCTGTACCCTAGCTCTCGTATGCATAAATAAATAAATCTTTTTTTAAAAAAAAGTCTATTTCCTTGTAACTTGAAAACGATGTGTTCTTGGAAATGGCTAGAATGCGTGCTGCAAGAAACTGCAGACTCACTGGCTATAGACTAAGCTGGCAGAGGTCAGCCTCCTTAGGATGATGACCCCCACATCATCTCAGCTGTTTTGGTGCCACCAGGAACCAGACTCTGAGGGGAAGAGGGATGGAGCCTTACACCGTGGAATACTACTCAGCCCTCAAAAAGATAAGCCCATGCCATGCGAGGCAACATGGATGGAGCCGGAAGGAATAAATAAGTCAGAAAAAGAAACAAATACCAGACGGCGTCACTTATACGTGGAACTGAGAGAAACCAAAGGGTCAAATAAAACCAAACTCAGCAGCCAGCCCTCGAAGCCGACCCCCAGCAGGAGCGGGGTGCGCAGGGTGGGGAGCGCGCCCCGTGGCCCAGGCGGGATGAGTGTGGGCGCCTCGGTCGTGGCCGCGCTGTGGGATCCCGTCCTCCCAAGACACACACAACAGTGTGATCCAACGCAAGCGCAACGAGAAACGAGAACAAAACATTGCGCAAAGCAAAAGAAGAAGCCGCCGCCTTGGGGAGCCGCCCCCAGACGGCAGGGCCCTGGCGGGCGCGCTCACCCCGCGGACCACTGCAGCACGTCGGCGGGCTGGGTGCGGATGGCCGCCTTGGTGAACTGCTTGAGGATGTCGGGCAGCTCCGGGGGGATGTGGATCTGCTGCGCGCAGAACATGGTGTCGGGGAGCGGCATCGCTGTCCGCAGCCCGGACCAGGCTGGAGAACCGGTGCCTGCGGGGAAGGGGCCGGTCGTCTCGGCTGCTCGGGCTGGGGGCTGGGGCTGGGGGCTGGGGGGCGGGGGCCGGGGAGCTGGGGGGGCTGAGGGGAGCCGGAGGGGCTTGGGGGCTGGGGGGGCTGGGGGGTTGGGGGGCTGGGAGGATGGGGGGTTTGGGGGGTTGGGGGGACGGGGGAGGCTGGGGGACGGGGGGGCTGGGAGGACGGGGGGTTTGGGGGGTTGGGGGCTTGGGGACGGGGGGGATGGTAGGACGGGGGGTTGGGGGTTGGGGGGCTGGGAGGACGGGGGGCTGGGGGGACGGGGGGCTGGGAGGGCGGGGGTTTGGGGGGGCTGGGGGGACGAGGGGGCTGGGGGGACGGGGGGACGCTGGGTGTTGGGGGGCGGGGGGCCGGGCTCGGGCGGGCGGGGCCGGGCTCGGGGCCGAGCGGGGTCCCGGGCTTGGGCGGGTCCCGCGGAGGCCCCGGGCGCCGTGCGGGCGCGGGCGCGGGCGCCCCGAGGCGGGCTGGGCGGCCGCGGTCGGGGGTCCTTACCCGCCCCTCCTGGTGCTCCTGGGAAAGTGCGGGCCAACCGCCCCTGCCAGCCACACCCCGACCCGCGGCGCCGGCCGCAGCTATTGTGGCGCGGCGGTATCCAGGCAACCGGACGCGCGCGGGCCCCGCCCCCTGGCTCGGCGCACGCGCACTCGCCTCTGGCAGGCACCGCGCTTGCGCAGTGCACCCCCGCTGGCAGGTGCCCCAGAGCGCGCCTCGGCTCCCCCGCCAGAGGCGAGGGCGGGGTCACGGGCGACCCCCTGCCCCTTGCTCTGGGCACCAGAAGACTCGGGCCCCCGAGGGGCTCGGGCCTGCCTGTGCGCCCGGAGGCCTCGTCCCGCGTGCACGTGCCCGCCCGGCACCTGCCGTGCCCCCGCGGCTCGCCCCGCCGCCTTCGCACCTGCTGCGCCCGGTGCCCCCGGCCCCTCCAGATCTCAGTTCAGAAGGCACCTCGCGTTCATAGACAGTGGGCTGTTTGCAGCTAAAAGAAGATGCTAGTTTTCCTGGCTACAAGCCACCTCTTCCGATAAATAATAAACAGGCTCTGGTCAAAGGGCGGGAGAAACGCGTTCTGGGGGATGCTGACCAGGGCAGCGGGCCGAGTGGACCCGGGGTGAGGGAATACTGGCTGGCCGCCGGAGACCACCCCACCCCACCCACCCCCCTCACAGGGGAAGATGAGGACTAGGATCTGGGGTCCAGCAGGGCGGCTGACAAGGCTCTTCCCTCCCGCAGGCATCCAGCCCCAGCACGGCTGCTCGGGCCCAGCCACGCACCCCCAGTGAAGACACACATGCTGGCAAGTCCTCAGCACCAGCACGGGCTGCCAGTCGTCACCATTTCATGTTGATGACTTGAGTGTTGCTAGTAAGCTGGGGAGCAGAGGGGGGCATTTATTACCTTAAATATCTTTGATTTAATCTTCTAGGAACCCATGCTACACAACACTAGTCTGAGCCTATACACGTTTATCATATTACATTAAACCATGGGCTGTCTTCTGGAAAACACCATAGCTTCATCCATGCAGTGAATACAGCCTGACCCTTGAAGTGAGTGGCTGCTATGGACTGACATAAAAATAATGCCCTTGAAATTGAAGGGCGGAAAGCTCCCCATGGTGCTCTCTGGGGAGCCCACCCCTTGCGGTGATGTGGAGCCACGGAAGTGGGCCATGTGGCCGATGGTGGCGACCTCTGAGAAGGGCGTGGTACTTTCAGGTTGTATTCTAACCACACATCATTTTGATCCATTTACTCAGCATACTCAACACCAGCTAGGTCCCAGTGACTATAATCCCCAGCTGTTATTTTAACCTCTGGCGTAACAGGCAAATACAAACAAGACAGGTAAGCTATTCCCCCTCCCCAATTACAAGGATAATAGAGAAAAACAGAGTGGTAACAATGAACAATCTTGATGTTACACTAAGGTGACCCTTGAGGGGCCTCCCTGGCGGTGCCAGGGGTTAAGTCTCAGCACTATGAAGCTGTCCGCAGCCTCTGCAGCACGAGTTAGATCCCCAGCCAGGGAGCTACTCACATGGTGCCCCGGACCTTTCCTGACTCGCCCGCTGCTCCCCTCAGCAGTGTATTTCTGTAGATGTGCCTGTTCTGCTCCCCACTCTGTCTCTGGTGCATCCACTCACCCCCCTCCCCCCACCTTCCACCCCTCTGGCCCACAGCCCAGTTCTTGTATGCATATCCTTAAAAAAAAAAAAAAAAAAAAAAAACTTTGTAACATTTTTGGCTTAGTAACTATAATCCAGCCAGTCTCTACCCACTAAGATGGGGACATCTGCAATGGTAGATTTGGGGGAGGGGATCCCCGTGTTGTTTGAGGGCAGCTGCAAGGGCAGCTGCTCAGATGCATCTGAAGTCCCAGGAAGAAGAGGGAGTGGTCAGCACACAGATGGCCTCCGCGGCCACCAGATTGGGTGACATCAGCAGTCCTGCCAGAGCCCTGGGACCAGACAGGCTCAGCAGAAGAGCTGATAAAGGAGTCAAGATGGGGAGGGGGGGGTGTTGAGTGACAACACAAGGGGCACCTCCCCAACCCCCTACACGGTGGGGGAATGTGCATTTGGCACAGATGCAGGGGAGCGCAGATGTGATGGTATGAGTGAGCAAAAAGCTGAGGGTGCCCATCCTTTCTGTGAAACAGGAGGAAGCCATCAGCCAAACGTGAGGAGGAGGGTTCAGGCCTCTGAGACAGCCTATGCGAACACACAACTGCTTTTATAACTTGTGGTATAAGTAACACGCAATCCATTGCACAAAATTGGCTTGGTTTTAAAAATAGTAGCTTCACTAGGAAAAATCGTACACCACCGAGTCTTGGTGGATGTCCACGTGCACCCCGAGTCCCACCAACACAGTGAACAGGCTTCACCCATTTTCTACATGTTCCTTTCAAGTCCAAATTCCTCCTGACCACCCCCTCCACCTCCACCCCATCTGCTTTGTAGATATTTCTGTGGGTTACTTTGCATTTTCTGGAATTTTATATAAAAGAAAGCACAAAGTATGTTTCTGGTGGATTTTTATCCAGCAGGTGTTCTGGGACTTGCCTGTTGTTGCTGAGCGCTGTTCCCTGGCGTGTGCACGGTTGCTGGCTGGGCTACTCCAGACACAGGTACGTGAACACTCAAGTTCAAATCTTCATGTGGACTTAGAAGTTCTTTCCCCTTAGCGAGGAGTGGGAAGTACATGTTGTAACCTTCCGAGAGTTCTCAAACTGTTTTCCAGAGTAGCTGCAGCGTTCTGATGGCTCCAGCAGAGTCTGACAGTTCCTTCCCTCCACAACTTCCTCAAGCCATACGGATATGAGGTAATGTTAGCCATTCTACAGGGGACGCGGTGGTATCTCACCGTGACTTAAATTCGCATTTTTCTAATGCTTCATGACATTGAACACTTATGTGCTCGTTTACCATCTATATCCTCTTTAGTCAAGTGTTCGCTTAAATATTTTGCCACTTTTAAAGTATTTTCTTTCCATCAGGTTTTGAGACTGCGCATTCGGAACGCATGTCCTTTGTATCAGCAATGTTTTACAGACGTTTGCTGCCACTCTGCAGCTTGCCTTTGTCTTCTGAACACTCTGCTCAACGAGCAGATGTTTTCATTCCTGAGAAAGTCCACGTCCATCCTTCTATGGACTTTTTTTTTCTCCTTTTCTTTTAGAGCTCGTACCACTTGGGGTTTTACATTGGGACTATGATCTACTTTGAGTTGATTTTTACATACTGAAGACATGGGTCAATTTCAGTTTTGCTACTGGATGTCCAGTTACTCTGGCACCATTGGTTCGACTTTTGCATCTTCGTCAAAAACCCCGTCTATATACAAATGAGCATCTTCCTGGACTATGTTCTGTTCCATCAGTCCAATGGGTTTGGGCAGCAAAGAGCAAAGGAGTGACTGGTCCCCTGTCATGAAGCCTCTGTGCAAAACACACACGGGGAACGGAAGACCTGGTGAGGCCTCGCTGCTGGGCCCTGCTGCAGAGGTGCAGGCGGGCAGTGGAGACGGTGTGTGACTCTGGTGCGGAGAAGGGGTGTGTCCTGTGCAACTCGACTTTTACACTTCCACTTAAAACGATGGCGAAGCGGTCAGCACATCTAACTTGAGTCACTTCTTCTTCTAACTATCCTATTAAAAATAGCTAGATTAGGGCCTCCCTGGTAGCGCAGCAGTTGAGCGCTGGGTTGCAAAGCTGCCCGAGCCCCTGCAGCGCCGGTTCGATCCCCGGCTGCTCCCCGGCCACCGGAGGAGGGTCCCACATGGTGCGCAGACCTCTCCTGCCGCCCGCTGCTCCCCTCAGCAGTGTACTTCGGTCCTTCTGCCTGCTCTACTATCCGCTCTGACGCTGGTGAATTCTCTCACCCTCCCGTGCTTCTGACTGTACCCAGTGCTTGCATAAAATAAATCTTTAAAATAAAAAAAACAGCTGGATTATAGCTACCTCTGCGGACCAGTAATGCATGTTTCTGTCATTTTGAAGCATTCTTGCAATGAATGCAAAAACCGCAAGCCGAGGACTTAGGCTACTGCTAATATTCACTTTATTCAATTCTGTTCTCCCAGAAGGCAACAAATGACCACATGAAAAAGGAAGCATTTGAAGATATCCACACATAAAATCAGTCTGGGTATCTAGGTGTTTGCTTTAATAGAAAATGGACATCCCAAATAACTAAAAGCTCTGATTTAATTCAACAACCGTCATTTCTAGGTCTTACAGTCATTCCATTTTCATTTAAGACACTATTCCTCTCGTGACTACAGAATAGAGGGGGACAAAAACTGACGTGCCCATCTGCTCTGTACGCTGGGTTAATGCTGAAGCTATGTCGGGAATGACTTAAGGAAGTCCTTACGTGATGACTGTTTCAAAACATGACAGAGGGTGGTAACAGGCCGAAAGGAAAGCCACTAAGGCAGCAAATGAAGGCAGCCAACCAAGGGAGCTGGAGATCTCCGGGAGTCTGTAATTCCCACTTCAGGGATGACACATCTGAGTTCTCTCTCCCGGATGGCAACTGGACAGTGACGCAACACCCGGCGAAGTAACTCTCTATGGGAGGATTTTAAACATCATCATTAAATTTCACAATGTAAAATTCTGCAGTAAGTAGAGAGCTTAAACTACTGCAAATCAGAGTAAGTAGTAAATTTATGAAGTTTAAAAAATGCCAGTGTTCTCACATGGGTGCAACATCCTCTGGTGGACGTGTGTGCATGCACGTGTGCACAAGTGTTCCTAAAGGCAATATGATGTAGAAATGTGCAATGCTTCTCTGTTTTGTCTTAAAAAGCCATCAATTCAACCTAAATTCAAGAATTACACTTTAATAGTAACGTTCTACCAAAACAGAACGGACATATCTAAGATCAAATTTGAGGGAAAAGTTATTCTCTAGTACTTGAATATGGGAAAGAAAAAAACACAAGACAAGAAATCCACAGTAATAACAGTTATATTAATATTGAAATAAAAATTACTTTTACATCTGGAATTGAGGTGCCCAATCTCCACTGTTTCTCTAGAGAATTAACAAGATAAAATCACCTAAAAACATGGCGTTCTCGTAAGGCCAGCTACACATATTGGCATTTTTCTTCAGTTTTCATCTCAACTATTAGTACTTAATGGTTTAAAAATCAAACATAATTTGCTAATAATAAGCAACTGCACACTGCAGACTATGACCATTTGGTAACTGGTTGTAAAACTAACCCCAAATGTTGATTTGTTTTCAACTTATAAATAGTACAAATACAGCAAAAGGTCTTTCCTAATTCACTTCCGTTGAAAACTGTTTCATAGCCCGATGTAAAATAAAGCCAACGGACACTACCGCTATAAAAAAATTGTACGCAACAGGTAGCAATACTCTGACCTAGAGGTTTTAAACAGCTCCAAGACTACTGTAGTTAGTAAGATCTTGATGCCACCCAAGCATGCCAGGAAGTGCTGCGAGAGGAAAGCACCCCTCTCACTGACAGGAACAGGACAACCACAACTGAAAACCAGGAAACTCCTGAACAAAGACAAGACAGAACCATCCGCCAGGATAATGGAGCGCAAACATTCATACTTTTTTGTTATACAAAATATTTGATAAGATTCATTCAAAATTTTGTACAATAACAAATTTTACTCTTTTGCAGTATCTGCTTAGTTCTCTTTCTGGTAAAACGGATAAATGTGCCCCAACCACTGTGTATCAAGAGCTACAAATCTCTAAAAAACTAAAAAAAATATAAATTAATATAAATCAAGTTATAGGCCCAATTTAGTATTTTTTCTCCCAAAGAGAACAGTTTATATAGACATACACCGTTACAGGTGACATTAGTTTTAAATACTCCTAATTTTTCACAGCAGGATTAAATTTCCAAGTAAAGGTAAGGATAGCAAAGACCTTATTCCAAACACTAGAGAAAGGGCTAGTTCCTCAAAGTGCTGGGAAGTGTAACACTGACTCCTATGTCAAGCTTTTCTTCTGATACTGATATTTAAAAATATATTTTAGAGTAAAGTAATTGCTTACCACTTCAGGAAAAATTGTGGAACTATAAAGCAACCAGAACATGTCGCTTTTGATTTTGGTAGCTTATGTTTGGCTGGCTTTCATATTTTAAAAAACCCTCAGATTTGAGTATATGAATTTTAATACTATACGGAAATTCTTCTAGTTTCTGAAGACGTATGCTGTCCATTTTCTCTGAGAACATCTAAGTTATCATCCAAAACCAACACTCGCCTTACAATGCCCCATCCTACAACACTTGGATGGCGGGCCTGACTACTCCTCACTATTTCTCTCATCTTCTAACTTGAGCTTTGGTTATGTGGGAAACCAAGTTCAACCGTGCATTTTCTGACTTTACAGTTCATCTCCAATGAAGTACAGCCTGCACTCCTATGTTAAAAGGCCAGCTCAGCCAGCTTCCTTCTGGACAAATAAAATCAAGATGGTTTTATTTGTAGTTTTATTTTGTAAACAAAGTGTTCTCACAGGAAACTAGGAGAAAAGTTCTTGCCAATCCTCACCAAATGATGCCAGAACCAGCAGGTCTTGGTGCTCTGACCGGTCTCCTCTAATGCTGTCCCGATCTAGACCAAACACCACACCCACATGTAACACATATCTCAGGACGGCCTAAGTTCCAGTTTGCTGCAGTACCGCTGGTGCTATTATTCTGTAGGATTTAAAATCAGACATGGACCTTTGGCCACTGCTGCCAAAAAAAGAAAAACAGACAGCTCTGTGTGAGAAGGGGGGTAGGGGCTTACAAAAATTTTCTTTTGGATAGTTTTCCCTTCTACATATAACATGCCCCTAACAAGCAAAAAAACCCAGCTCCCAATGCTGATCACTAGAAATATTAAATTATCAAAATTAAAAATAATTTCCTCACCTACCACAAGATACTACACAATATTACAAACACAGACACATGGGAAAGAAACAGGCAGTAGAAAATGTACAACAGCTTTGGTGTTACACGAAATAACTTCCAAAAATGATTGACAGTGAAGCACAAAGTTCATGTTTTCTTACCACAGAGACTCCACTGGTGATTTCTACTTGCTTCCTTTTACCTTCTGGTAAGGTATGGACAGCCAAGAAAGACAGAATGTACAGCTTACTGGTGAGAGCCGCCAGGACCCGTGGCACTGGGTTCCAGAAGTCATTAAAAAGTCTCCCTCTGCCCGACGGCTCTGTGGCACGCTGCCTGTCAAGATCACAGCAGGTCCAAAATAAAGTGACAACTAGAATTTAATAAATTAATATACATTTTGTTTAAAGATGTACAATGCACATTCTGTTTAATCCAAAGTTTCGGGGTATCCAGGAACTTCTATTTACACATATACAGATCTCAGACAGCGGCGATGTCAGAAGATGCAGAAAGGGCAGCAGAGCCTTCCACTGCTGCGCTCCGAGGCCGAGACACAAGTCAAATACATTTAACTTAAAACAATGCTGAGAGATCACCAGGAAAGTCTCCAAAGAGAGAAGTCCACAAGAAAGGACACGTAAAGGCAAGGGAAGATCAAGGTAGTTGAGAAACTGCTTTATTCTTGGGACGACGCTGGCGGTGGAGGAGATGTGCCTTGCTTGCCTGATTTCCGCTCGTAATTCACAAGGCGCTGGCCCACCAGGTATCTAGGTGTAAAAAAGGGAGGTTACTCTCTCATATATATGATTGACACAGACAACATTCTTCTTAACAGTGGCAAGGGGTACATACATTCTTTTTAATGCCAATCCAATCGCTTCACTCCTACTTAAAACCCTTCCACGGTGAGGGAAGTACAGGGCGAGTCTAGAGCAAACACCTGCACAGGCACAAAGGCAGGCCGGCCCTCACGGCAAGTATGGGGTGGCGCGGAGTGTCGGGAGCAGCAAATGTCAGAGGCCCCAGGCTGTGGCGGGAGGACTTACTCCCACTGTAGAGCGGAATCCTCACTCACCAGCTCAGCTAGACTGAACTCAAGCAAGGGACTTATCTGTGATGGATCGTATTTTACCAAACGGTTTAGTGGAGCTATCTGAGGAAATGTATTGGCAATATCATCAGAAAGTTGGGTAGGGAGGAAAGCAGGGCCTAAAACTCTCTCCTTGGAGAGAAAAGGAGAGATCAAAGGACAAAGATGTCAATAAGGTCAAAGGGGTGATGGTGTGGAAGTGAGTGTATTATGCTAAGGAACGGGAGGGGGAACGGTCCAGGCCCTGGATTTCCCGTAGCACTTGGCAGTGACTTTGCTCTGTCTCTCCACGATGGTTACAGTAACCTGTTGGCCTTTAGCTGCACGAGGGATACAGCAGCACTAATTCTTAATGTAGGCTCTATATTTTTATCTAAAACTAATACAGTGTCAAATAAAAGAACATCTGAAAAGACACCGACTGCTATTTGGGACTCTTGCTATCTACTGCTACACCACTGGCGCCCTTAACACAGACCCCTACTTGCATGTTAAACACCAACGCTCCCAACCACTCTGCTCCAGTCTTTTTCACCTCTATTAAGTGACAGCTCCACAGCTCCAGGTACTCAGGCCACTGAGTCCTCGATCCCACTCTCTTTCACATCCTATATCCAAGCTGTCAGGAAATGCTGGCAATTCCACTCAAAATATATCCAGAATCTGAGCACTTTTCCCTCTTTTATCACACTGAACACAAAAATTAGGAAATGGGCTATCTTCACAAGAGCAGCGAGAGCAACGGAAGTCTACACTTACTTGTCATTTTTAATATGTTCATAAAGGCGCTTAAACTGGCGGACCTGGAAGGACAAGATGCCCATCAACACCACAACCATCAATAAAAAGGGATAAATCCGCCGGTGAACCAAGTTTTGCATTTCCGCAGTGACACCTGCAAAAACAAAAACAAAAACTCGTGAGTGTATACAGAAATAACAGTGGCAACAAAGTGTGTTCTTTCTCTAAGAAGCAGGGACTGGCATGAAACTCGGGATGACACTGAAGGAGGCCAGGAATGGGGCCGGCTTGGCGAGGCCTCAGCTAGAGGCAGAGCCGGGTAAATGATGGCAAGAATCGTGTTTTAAAGGTCACAGAGGGGCCTCCCCGGTGGCGCAGCAGTTGAGCGCTGGGTTGCGAAGCTGCCCGCGGCCTCTGCGGCGCCGGTTCGATCCCCGGCTGCTCCCCGGCCACCAGAGGAGGGTCCCACATGGCGCGCAGACCTCTCCTGCCGCCCGCTGCTCCCCTCAGCAGTGTACTTCGGTCCTTCTGCCTGCGCTGCTCCCTGCTCTGGCTCTGGTGAATTCTCTCACCCTCCCGCGCTTCTGACTGTACCCAGTGCTTGTATAAACAAAACAAACAAACAAACAAATAAATAAATAAAACATGCCTCTATTAAAAAAAAAAGGTCAGAGAGGAAACAACCCATCGGATGCTGATCAACAGGAACAGTGAGACTTGGTCTTTAAAAGGCCACTGTGGCCACAGCCTGGCAGCTGCACAGCGGGGACCCAGACCTAGTGAGGGAAGTCGGTGGGGGGCAGGGATGACCTCATCTGCACCTGCACCACTGCCACCACGGGCACAGGCCCCAGAGGCGGACAGAGCCCAGAGGTGAGATCAGGGACCTGGAAACACCTGAGTGTGGGGAGCAGAGAAGCTTGGGTGATGTGGTGACCTCTCAGGTTCTCTGAGTTATACAACTCGCCGGATGAGGAGAGAGGGAGTTTAGAAGAAAAGGATTCGGAGGGGGAAACTGTCCTTTCCATTCTGAACATAAGCTGGGTTTAGCCCAATGAAAAGATAACGTCTTGCTAGCTGCTGAAAAGTCACACCCTAGCATCACTTCTCCTTTTACGTTAAAGAAGATTTCTTAAAAATTAAGTAATAACTTTTTCTTAATTTTATGATTATAAGATCATAGCACTTCTAGACAGGGAAAGACAACCTGGAAGATATCTGTTCCTATTTTGGGGAGATTGTAAATGTCAATACTTTCTCCCTAGAGAGAAAAAGTGCGCTGAAGAGCTTTGTGACCCACCTAACGTTGTCCCAAGTAATCAAATCTAAGGAAAGTGGATTTTGACACCACCGCGCCAGCTGGATTTGTATTCACAGGTAAAGCAGTCTAGCTACTGACAAGAGTGCACCAGCACACTCTCCAGCTTCTTGCCAGCACTACTCACCAAGTAAAGGAACGACACCAGATGCTATGACGTAAGGGACGCACAGGGAAAGCAGAAGCACAGAGATCACTGGGGCTGCGAGTTTGCGAATGATATAGTGAAGGTCAATGTTCCGGATGCCATTTGCATAAACCTGAAAGGGGGGCAAGGGAGCATGGAAATTAGAACATTAAGACTACAAAACAGGGCCTCCCCGGTGGCGCAGCAGTTGAGCGCTGGGTTGTGAAGCTCCCCGCAGCCTCTGCGGCGCCGGTTCGATCCCCAGCTGCTCCCCAGCCACCGGAGGAGGGTCCCACATGGCGCACAGACCTCTCCTGCCGCCCGCTGCTCCCCTCAGCAGTGTACTTCGGTCCTTCTGCCTGCTCTGCTCCCTGCTCTGGCTCTGGTGAATTCTCTCACCCTCCCGCACTTCTGACTGTACCCAGTGCATGTATAAACAAATAAATAAAAAAAAAAAAAAAAAAAAAAAAATACGTGCCTCTTTAAAAAAAAAAAAGACTACAAAACAAATTCCTCTGGGTTGACAGAGTAACTTCTACTGAGCCATACCACATAGACTTGACTCTACCAGTCCTCCAAATTTCAAACTAATTTTCCAAAGTCAAAGCAAATTCTGAATGCCAACACGGGAGTGGCAGCAACAAGTTTTTTAAGAAATGCATTTCTCCACCACACTGTACAGTTCTCTCTGCTGAGGTGAAATGAGACTAACCTAACACCAGCTGTGCACTAACCCACGCCAGGTGGCATGCAGAGAGGCGAGCCGAGGACCACTGCGAGGTGAAGGAAGGGAAAGCGGCAGCTTTACTGCCTCAGCACTGTCACAACTTTTTCACTTGGTGCTGACCTAAAAGACAGGCTGGCTGCTCCAAGCACATTTTCTAAGTAATGAAAGTAAGTATCAAAATCTGTTCTGTTGGCTATTTTGGACAGAAATCTCGTTGAAATGAATGATTACAACGCCCAGCCTTATTATGAGAAGCTCCCGCGGTCGTCACCGCAATGACCCGTGACCAGAGACTCTGTGGCTCAGCATGGCTCTCAGGTGCTGCACAGCGAGGATATTTCCAAACAGCTCTGCTTTTTTTGTTATAATTTTTTCCTTCCTTTCCCTGTATACATTCCCTTCAATAACTTTGGTTTGTCTCTGCTGTAAGCTTAGAAAACACAGAGGATACACAGCATTCCTGCCCTGGAAGTCGGCACATGTGCTGATTTTTGCATCCACTATGGACAGGCTCGGGGTGCTTTAGTTAGGGGTTTACCATCCGGTGAGTTTCAGAGCAGCGGATGAAACGCACGGCCACATCACACACAGTGCCACTCTCGTAAAATAAACAAGTAAATAAATAAAGGTTATATATGCTCATTAAAGAAAATGCAGATATAAACTGTCCCATAAGTCAAACATGGTCACTATCACTCCAGCCTTTTCCTAAAAACTGACTTGCTCACCTGCTCAATCACGGTCTTCAGCCACCACTGAGGCCCCATCAGCGTTATCGCTGCAATGATCTTCGCATGCAGGACTCCAAGTGCCCAGTCCTAGGGCAATAAAAACATTTATCTAATTTTTTGGTTTGTTTTTAGCTATAAACCCAGCATACAAACTATATAAAATTTTCTTATTTCAAAACAGAAGTCTTACAAGATTGATAACAATTTTACATTAGATTAACATATGCTGGAAAATCCGGAGTATTTTCTCCCATCAGTTCAATGTTCCTATCAAAAATCATTCTTGTGTATCTTTCAGGGATCTACGTTTTCCCAAGATTAGTAGTAAAAGTGTGGACATTAATGGAGGTCTTAACACACAAACAAACAAACAGAACAGTGTCATGGTATCCTTTCACTACACTATTTTTACCTACAATAAAACAAAGTTCAACTTCATTCTTTTTAACTGCTGCACTAAATTCCAAAGAAGATATACCTGGCATTTTATTTAATCATTCTGTACTGGACATCTAGTTGCTTCTGACTGTTTCTGCCATTATAAAAATCACCTTCAAGTTACGGAGTCTTCCCAAGCGAGGCCCCAGGTAATACAGAGCAGAGAGGGGTTAACCTGCCCTCTCTGAATTTCTGATCCACACACTGGTGGCCCCAATAAATGGTAGTCTTTGATACGAAGTTGCTCGTTATGCAGCAGTAGTAACTGAAGACCCATCAACTTACACCTGGTGGGTTCAGCACTCATAGGCGTTGCTTGGTGGAATCAATCTGTTGACTCCCTCAGAACAGTGACTTTCTAATTCTGTTATTTAAGCCTTTACTAGCTGATACTGTTCTGTTAAAAAAACAGCTTTCCATCAGTCATCGATGCTGTGTGATGACGCTGCAATGAGGTTCATGCAGAAAGACAGCTTACATACTTCAATATTCCCCTTCATTCCTTACGTTTCTCTGCAATTCTGTGAGGACCCTGGACTGGAGGCAGTTCCCTAAGATGTGCTCTTGCTCATGTGTCTAGGGCATTCCCGCCTTCTTGGAAATACCTCTTCCTTTCTTATTGATATTTCGTCTCTACTAGGCTGTCCTGACATTATCTCCTACGGAAAACCACATCTGAACCCCCAAGTCAGGTTAAATGCCTCCCGACACAAAGCCACAGCTGCTTCCAGCAGTGACAGCACAGTTTACCTGTGCACATGTCTATCTTTCCCACCAGCCCATGATGGCCTCAAGAACTTCCTACATTGGGCCTCCCCAGTGGCGCAGCGGTTGAGCGCTGGGTTGCGAAGCTGCCTGTGGCCTCTGCGGCACCAGTTCGATCCCCGGCTGCTCCCCGGCCACCGGAGGAGGGTCCCACATGGCGTGCAGACCTCTCCTGCCGCCTGCTGCTCCCCTCAGCAGTGGACTTCGGTCCTTCCGCCTGCGCTGCTCCCCGCTCTGGCTCTGGTGAATTCTCTCACCCTCCCGCGCTTCTGACTGTACCCAGTGCATGTATAAACAAAACAAACAAACAAATAAATAAAACATGCCTCTATAAAAAAAAAAAAAGTTAAAAAAAATGCCTTAAAAAAAAAAAAAAAAGAACTTCCTACATTATAGTTTGAAATCCACCTAAGTTACTTAGTGCAGAGGTTAGGCACACACTAAACACTCAGGTAGGTATTTATAGTTATGAAGTCTGCGAAGGTTTCCATGAACTCTATGGCCTTGCTGTAACCGACAAAGGTTCCCTCTGAATGCGCATTTTTAAAATAAGACTGCAACTTTGTGGGAAAACGTGCTGTAATTACTGAAGAGAGTAAGTCACTGCTTAAAGTTTTAAAGCCAACAAGAGGAGGAGACCTCACCCTAATCAAAAGGTGAAAAGATTAACATTTTAGTTTATACTGATGAAGAAGCCTAAATGAATAGCGCCATTTTAACCTAGAGAGTAAGGGCTTTTACACAGTAGTTATAGGACCTATGTGTTTAGAAAGCAAAAAATTAAAATATGTTATTTAATCAATGTTCCAAGGGTCCCTAGAAAAGAAAAAAAATCACCTTTCTAAATAAATTGTTTAAATCACATTAAAAGAACTAAGGAATTTTATAACCCCAAATCCATAATGAAATATCATGAGCAAAAGAGACAGACTTACCTGCCATGGATAAAAAAGAGGAGTCTGATCCAAGGGAACCCTCAGGGGAGCGACAATGACCAGCTCGAACAGGAGCCCCAGGAGGAGGGGGACAACCCCAGCCAGCAGCACCGCAACGACCAAAGTCTTCATTATCTACAGGGGGACGAGGCTGTGTTAGCAAAGACTCTAGCTTTCAGCCAAAGGCTATTCCATTCCAAAGTTATTTTTCTTTTTTCACCCCATGCCTGACAGAATAGAAATCTTACATCATCTACACACATTTTATGTGTTTTAATGAGACTGCTATTAAATACCTAGGAATATTATAATGAAAACATGAAATTAGGCACTGCTGCTATAAAATTATAGGAAATTCATTTTTCTACATAAATTAACCAGATGTCTGTGCTGTTTTTCTATCTCATTCCCAGGAATAGGCTTTTTTTGGTCCAAGAAAAGCTACGGGTCCCTGGCACAACAGCCCACCCACAGGTAGATCGGTTACTGCTGAGGTAGCTGGCATAGAAGGGCCATTAAGATGATCCATTAAGCTGATTGAAGTGGCTCCCTTGGAACAGCGCGGTCCATCAGGACTTACTATAATGACAGGTATGTCCTCTGTGTTGCCCAATACAGTGGCCACTCACACACAGCTACAGGACAAAGTGGCCCTATGAAAATTCAGCAGGACAGAGAGCAAAGAAGAGGCGCAGGGAAAGCACCACTAGGAGCTCCTGACAAAGCAGCAGTCTTCATGGTGGCCCTAGCGGCCCGTGACCCCAGGTAACCTCAGTGAATACGCGGCTTCTGCTGACTAATAGGGTGTGTGTGAAGACACATCACTTGCTTCTTTACACACCAACTTGTGGTGACATGATTGAAGACCATATTTAAATAGTGGAATGTCTCACCCTTATGGCTTAAACAGCAATGAAATCCCTTCACTTGGGGCCTCCCTGGTGGTACAAAGTGTTAAATCTCAGTATTAAGAAGCAATCCACAGCCAATGTAGCATGAGTTCAATCCCCAGCCAGGGAGCCGGCCCACGTGGCACAGCAGACCTCTCCTGTCTCGCCTGCTGCTCCCCGCAGCAGTGTGTTTCAGTCACCCTGCCTGTTCTGCTCCCCACTCTGTCTCTGGTGAATCCTCTCACCCCTACTCCTATTCTTGTATGCATACATAAATAAATCTTAGTAAGAAAAAAAAGAAATCCCTTCGCTCATAACATACATGATCTCTTATGTTTACAGTTTTGTTTCATTACTAGTATTAAATGGTTGTTAAACTTTCAGTGAAATCAAAACATACAAATTGAGATACAAAACTAGAATTGATTATACAAACAAACAGGCTTACGCAAGAGGCCTAAATATATTTACCAGTCATACTTGAATGATAATCTTACCTTTTTCCCGACAACATCTGTAGCAATTAGGTTCTTTACCAAGAGTATTAACTCATTCCATTACTTATTACACTTTTACGTTAAGTCAAGACAGTCTTGAATTCTAGCTTTAGGAGGAAACTATAATTAAAGGAATTCCGTTTATATTGAAAACATGACAGGATCCTCAAGTCAAGATTTACATATTTAAATAGTTCAAAATAATCAAATTTTAGAAAATCATTATAATGAAAATTCCACGTCAACTAACTTGGTTTTATATTCTACAGGATATCTTATTCCTTAAAAATACAATCAATCCCCTACGTTTCTACTTATGGTACATACTTGACAGCCTTATTGGATCACTTAATAGCATTGTTTTCTTTTAACCTTCAAATACACCTGTGGTTCTTAGAATGAAGCAGAAAGCTACCGTCTTAAAAGACCAGTCCTTCTAATCTAAAAAGATCAGCTCTCTAGACGTGATCAGAATAATGAAGAAGCCGAGTGTAAGGATTTAAATGTTTGGAAAAACATCCACTCTACCCATCAGACAGATCAGTCCTTATGACTAAAACCTACCATGAGGGACCACTCTTTAACCTTCTGGAAGATCACTCTGCGCCCCTGGGGCATCCATGCCACCAGCACGGTCACTGCCCGTATGGTCAGCCAGCAAACGTAGAGGCCACAAGCGGCAGTGTAGAGTTCATGGATTTTGGCAGTCCCCGTCCAGAATGACATTAACCAACGGCCGGCAAATACTGCAAACAGAAAGGCTGATAAATGAGACACATGGCTATACAGAAAGAACTATAATCTTGAGGTTAACGTTCTATTAGTATTTTCATATTGGTAAAAAGACATCACATTTACTATATATCAGTGTTTATGTTTTTAAAAAAAAAAAACCAAACCACAAACTCCATTTGATGAAGACAACCAACACACAGAAGTCCCTGGGGAGAGGTGCTCCTGAAATGGCAAGTCAATTATCTGTTTCTTTGGGGACTGAAAATGCATGCGGGGTTGTTGGTCTCATTGTTTTTATCACCAATTCAAATCATTATGTACATAATAGGACAAAAATGAGGATTTATGTTTATTATTTGTGCTTTTTAAGAACATTACAATAATTTAGACTTTCTTCTACCTGGCTCACTCATCAAGACAGAATACTTGGTTTATTTTAGTAAGTAGTAAGGCAGGAACATTTGAAAGCACAATGATCAAAGAATAACATGGTATTTTTCTTAGGGACAAAAGTTAAGACTAAGTTACACAAAGAGCTTGGACACAGGCTGAGGGTCGTCTAAGGGACTGCTCCCCACGGAAGCCTTACCAATGGGCTCAACAATGTCCCATCGACTCCTCTCAGGCGTGATCATTTGCGTAGTGAGTGTTCTTTACATGGTCACTTCTAGAGAGGCTAGACGACACCAGCAAAAGCCCAATCTCCAGTATCAATGGATTGGTTTCTCCTTAACAGCATAATGAAGCTATAATTTCTGGACACCTCAAAGGACCTAGTGCTGTGCTAAGCACATTCCACACATGATCACATTAATCCCCCAATGTAGCTACCACCTTCATTTGGAAGACTGAGAAACCAAGGGTCAGGAAAAGCACTTTGCGCAAGCAAAGTCACGCAGGGTGGAGGCTAAAGTGAACTCTTTTCTACGCGACAGAGCTCATGCTCTTGACCACAACCCGTGCTGGCTCCAACATCAAAGGAAATCAGGCCCAAAACTGATATCACGGGCTGCCTTCAACTTCACAAAATAGTGTGGATTAAAGTTAACTCATTCTTACAGACAAACACATGGATATGTTACATGAAATAAGCACCTGTGCATGTTAATTTGAAGATCTAAAAATCATCACTGATAATTCTGTAGAAATGTCTATGGTGGTATGTATATACCTACTTAAGCATTTTTTATTGTGGAAGGTTTTTGTTGTTGCTGGTTGCTTGTTTTTAAATATTTATCGGCCACCTTCTATCCCACATTTCACATACTGCTTATCAAAAGTGTCTTTAAAAGGACAGATTATTTTTTTAGTTTGTAGTAACTTATTATCAGCTGGCTGGAGCTGCAGGAAAGCAGCTCCAAGGACATGCGCGCACGCCCTGGGAGCACCTGTGATGCAACAAGTGCAGTGCCCATCAGACAGTGGGTCAGTTAATCTTTAGTGGAATGTAAGGACTTTTATTTCCCAATTCAAATAATGAAACGAGTAATTTTTGTTGACTTTTTCTAACTTTTTTTTTTTTTTTTAAAGATTTATTTATTTATTTATACAAGCACTAGGTACAGTCAGCACTGGGTACGCGGGAGGGTGAGAGAATTCACCAGAGCCAGAGAGAGGAACAGAACAGGCAGACTGACAAAGTACACTGCAGCGGGCACGGCAGGAGAGGTCTGCGCGCCATGTGGGAACCCTGACTGGCGGCCGGGGATCAAGCCAGCACTGCAGAGGCTGTGGGCAGCCTCGCAGCCCAGCACCCAACTGCCGTGCCACCAGGGGAGGCCTGACTTTTTCTAACTTTTTAGAAATATTTCTTTGATAAAAGCATGACAATAACATTTTATAAAAGCCACAAATGTAAAACTAAGTTTCACACTTACATAAAGTCCAACAACTAAGTTTCCTCAGCAATATGCTTACTATCCTGCACCCAAAGGTTAACTATACATTGCCATTTCAAGAGCTGTTTATAAGGAATAAACAGCTTAATAGCAAAGTTCTAAATGCCAAAGATCATTTTGCAAAACACACACAAAAAATTTTTTTACTAATTTTAGATAAAATTACAATTCCATTGGGTTAAAAAAAGTGTATTATTTAGAAACCTCATGCAAAATAAAATTTCCCAGTTGCTTTTTCTCAGGTTTAGCACTCACCAGGAAACTTGAGTATTTAGCATAACTTTTACTTACAAATTAGATTATACTGCATTAGTACTATGATCAAGCCACTACTTCAATAGACATTTATGTTTGATAAAAGCTATAAATCACCTTCTACTATTTAAGTGGCTAGCACACCAGCGTGGTATAGAGTTTTCTAGCTGGCAATAACACTACCGGGGAGGCTAAGCAGGCCTGCCACACTATCACTGGCTTTGAAGCTCTCCCTCACCCCATCACCAGGGGCCTCTGGGAAAAAGGACAAACTACTATATTTAATGCACAGCTTCTTATGTGTTAGATGAAAATACGTTTGGCTGAAACTGAAAGATAAGCATTTGTGAATACCAAATGATAAAAGAAAATAACCTGGCTTCCTGAACATCATATAGTGGCTGGGAAAGATAATTACATGAGAGCAAATGTGACTGATATTGGGCCTTCCTGGTGGCTCAAGGGGTTAACAAGCACTGCACTATGAAGCAATCCACAGCCTCTGCAGCACAAGTTCGATCCCCAGGTGGCCAGGGAGAAACCCCAGGGTGCGGCAGACCTCTCCTGTCTCGCCCGCTGTTAGTCTGCCTCTGTTCCCCACTCTGTCTCTGGTGAATCCTCTCACCCCCTGCATCTCTGGCCTGTACCCCAGCTCTTGTATGCATAAATAAATCTTTAAAAAAAAAATGACTGATATCAAAAGACTGGCTTGAAATAATGGCTTATATCACACAGATGACATTGTCAAAATTCATATATAGGGCCTCCCCGGTGGCACAGCGGTTGAGCACCGGGTTGCGAAGCTGCCCACAGCTTTTGCAGTGCCGGTTTGATCCCCGGCTGCTCCCGGCCACCGGAGGAGGGTCCCACATGGCGCGCAGACCTCTCCTGCTGCCTGCTGCTCCCCTCAGCAGTGTACTTCGGTCCTTCTGCCTGCTCTGCTCCCCGCTCTGGCTCTGGTGAATTCTCTCACCCTCCCGCGCTTCTGACTGTACCCAGAGCTTGTATAAATAAATAAATAAATCTTTTTTTAAAAAAAATTTCATATATTAGTAAGACAAGGTCCAGGAAAACTGAGTGATCACAGTGCTTCACTTGCAAAAATGAATCATAAATTACATCTTGATTTCACCCAGCTTTACTCTAGAACCCTAAATGGATTCCAGAGTTCATAAAAATGAGGGGAAAACTATTCCAAGTCTGTATTTTTGGAAATATCACATCTCAGCAAAACACCCTTTTAAAACGAAGCCTCTTTTCATGCTGTCATTGGCTAAGAATGAGGATCGGCTCATACCTGGCAGAGTAAGGCAGAT